AGAGAGAGAGAGAGAGAGAGAGAGAGAGAGAGAGAGAGAGAGAGAGAGAGAGAGCGCCTTATCGCTGGAGGCTGTTGCAGGCCCGGTCGCCAGTAGCGGCCCGCCTCAGTCGAGTCCCACAGTCTGGTCCGACACCCCGTCCTCTCCTCCCCACCTCGCGAGATGCTGCTGTCACTGGACGCGCTGCGGGCCTTGTCGCTGCTCGTGCTGCTGGGCCACGCCGCCCTGCTGCCAGGTACGCCCCTCAGGAGGTGACGCTACGTCACACCTGCTCGAGCTCGCGCGTTGTAGACTCAGCGTGTCTTGTCCCCAGGTGTCTCCACAAGGCGCACTGGCCAGAGCGCCGCGGAAATTAACGCCGCGAATGATGCCGCTCAACACGAGGCGGTCCTCCGCCCGATCCGCGAGGACTGGAGGGCGTTCTTGAGGTGCTCGGACAACAACAGGGTGAGTCACTGCCTGATGCCCTGAAGACACCACGAGAGCCAGGCTCTCTCCGCCACTCCTTGCTCTCTGTGTCGTGGTGTTGGTTGCAGTGCGACTATCGGACGGGTCTCTGCCCTCAACCCGATGACAAATGCGTCGAGATGGCCAGGCACCAGTGCAGGTGCGGCTGCCTCGGCTACCCGGGGGTCACCATGAACTCCGAGGTCTGGGACGAGTGCTGGGAGGCCTGCGAGCACAAGATCGACAGAGCGTGCGAGGGCACGACGTTGTGCCACTGGGACGACTGGGACTGCATGCACCTGTGCCCGGCGAGGTGCCGGTGCGAGTGCGCGCAAAAGGACAGGAACCGGACGACCAGCGCGCCGGCGGCGACCGGGTCCGGAGACAGCGGCACGAGCCCGCCCGAGGCGCTCCGGCTCAGTGCCGGCTCCTCTAGAGCCGCGCTCAGCACCACCGTCACGCTCGCGGCCCTCACGACCGTCACGAGACTGTTCAGCACACGGGGACGTAGTCTGTGACTATGTGACGGCGTGACTATGTGACGATGTGACTGTTTGGCGGCGTGACTGTGTGACGGTGTGACTGTTTGATGTTGTGACCGTTTAGCTGTGTGACAGTTTGACGGTGTGACTATTTGACGGTGTGACTGTTTGTCGGTGTGATGTAGAGATGGGCGAACATGTTCGCATTCGATCGAACTCGAACGAACATCGAGCTGTTCGTGATCGCTCGAACACGAACATGAGGTGTTCGGATTCGAAATGTTCGGACACTACTCGAACAGAAGTTCGTACGCGAACAAAATTGAAATATGTTTCAGAAATTCACCTCAAATGTGGGTATAATTGAGAGGGCAGTAGCAGTTTAATAAATAACTACAAGTTCACGCGTTAATGAGACTATTGTAAACCAGAATGGATAGCTTTTATTACGCGTAAGCAAGAAAAATTGGTAATAATTGTTCGTGTTCGGATCGAATTTGAACATTAGATTGTTCGGTTCGGTTCGTTCGAAGAAAAAAGTGCTTGTTCGTGTTCGTGTTCGTTCGAAGATTTTTTGGACCAAATTTGTTCGAGTTCGTTCAAATTCGAACTGGCCTGTTCGCCCATCTCTAGTGTGATGGTGTGAAGATGTGTCTATGTGACGGTGTGACGGTGTGACGGTGTGACTGTGTGGCGGTGTGAGTGTACCAGATAAGCAGACGCGCGGTGGAGTCGCGGCCGTGGGCACCAGATTACTTTGTCGCTATCGCGGGTCCAGCCGTCGCAGAACCACCAGAGCGTCGCGCTGGAGCGCGTGTCGCCGCGGCGGCCGAGAACTGCACATGCTTCCGTGTAACAATCTATATAACCGAGTAAATATTTGTCAAAAAATGAAACAATTCACTTTTACCTTAAATGTTTACCATCGCATACCAAACTCGTCCATATAACCAACCAGCGCGCTGCTCTTCGGTCGTACCGTCTCACCTGACGTTCCGTTCTTGCACTTGAGTCGTCGTGCGTTTGCGCCAGCCGTGCCCTATCTCCAGCTGAGAGGAGGAGGGAGGGGGGGGGGG